TGAAAAAAGCTAGATTGTTTTGTTCTGGTACAAACCTTAACTCTTCAAGGCTTGCTTCCTTCTGAGCGCTGATCTTCGCCCGGTGGGCGTAAAATCGAAACGCCTCCTCGGCCCAATGCTCGCCAATCAGTTCCTGGAAGATCTCCTTTGTTCGCTCGATTGTAAGGATAGTCTTCTTGTCGTCCAGCTCGGGACATTTGTCAATGGTGAAGGCCCCTTGATAAGTAAAAAAAGTTCTATAAAAATTTCTTATCAAAAAGGTCCTTTTTACCTCCCTCATCCCGACAAACTCCATAAAGAATGTCAACGTCGGCGTTGTACCTTCCACTGCGCAGAACCTCAATCGGCCGCACCGGAACTAGCTCATCAGCGCCGTACACCGGTCGAAAGGGATTGTCCATCTTTTTCGTAGCCGCCAGAATCGTCTCCAGGCTGACCTTGTTCTTCAGAAACTCCACAATCTCCTTCATCTCCGCCTCAGAACTACCTCCTTCAAAGCCGCACTCCTTGGCGAACTTCCTCGTCACCGCCAGCTGCTCCTCCGCCGGGCGAATCGAGTCGGGAACTCCCGACTGCAGAATCACCCGAGCGAAGAGACCTTTGGTGGCGGGAGATAGCAGGAGAAGTCCCGTCAGTACAGAACCAGAGGAGTTTCCAAAAAGTGTCACATTGGAGGGGTCGCCACCGAAATGGGCGCCATTCGCCTGGACCCACTTCAGGGCGAGATGAATGTCGGCCAGGCCGAGGTTCGCTGGAGCACCATTATCACCACCTCCACCGTAAAGCCATCCCAAACAGCCGACCCGGTAGTTCATCATCACCACCAGGACCTCTCCTCTGGCGGCCAGGTACCGGGCGTCGTGGGTGATCTTGAAGATGCTGCCGGTGTGGTAGCCGCCGCCGTAGATGTACACCATAATTGGAAGGAGTTTATTATAAGAAGAAGGAGTTTCCTTCAAAATGGGCTTCCAGACGTTCAGCAGCAGACAGTCCTCGCTGTACTCCGT